AAAAAAAAAAAAAAAAAAAAAAAAAACCTATAGTATTAAGATTTAAAATTTTTTAAATATATGAAACAAAAATTTTAAAAAATTTGACATATGTGTATCATATTTTAAATTAAACTTTTTAAGTATAAGAATATATTTATAATTTGAAATATATTCTCATGTAATACATTTAAAACAATTTTATATTTAATATTTTTTCATACTATAATTAAAAAAAAAAAAAAATATTCTCATAAATGATATAAATATATTTATATATTTATATATATAAAAAATTTTAATAAGCTTATTCTTCTTATAATTCAATATAAATAATTTAACTAAAAATATTTTTATTAAAATTTAATTTATATGTAATTTTTAAAGTTATATATATTTTTATAACAATATAGTATTTTAACAAAGGAAATAAAAAAAAAAATTAAAAATTTGAAGGTACCTTTTTTAAATTGAAAAAACTTAAAGTGCTTTAAATTCTTCAAAATAAATTATATATTAATAGAAAGAAATATTTTTTTTGATTTATTTCAAACCATAATATTTTATATTAAAACTCAAAAAAATTATAATTTTTTTTTTTTAATTAATTTAAAAGTGTAAATATGAAACAAAAAATATTTATATTTTATACTTGTGTATATATATAAAAACTTATTTTAATAAATAAACATATATATATTAGTATTTTGTAGATATATTTTTTATATTTATATATAATGAAAAAATAAAATTATAATATTTAATATATATATATATATATATATATCTAATAACTTGCTTTTAATAAAATAAAAAAAAAAAAAAAACTTTTCTTTATTAAAAAAAAAAAAAAATGTTTAAAAGATATATATGGAATAGTATTTTTCGTGATATTAATTATCGTTTAAAAAAATTTTATCATTCTTTTTATTATTCTCAAAGTCACATAAAATATGTAATGCTAATATTATTTCCTGCAATTATATGGTCTACTAGATATAGAACAGATACAAAATTGGGTTACTTTTTTTACATAAATGATGAAAAATTATATCCACAATATTCAAATAATTTAATAAATACGAAATGGAAAAATGGAACAAAATTTTACTTAGATGATAATTTAACCGTTAAAGATATAAAAAAAATTATTTATCAAAATGAAGAAAATATACCTAAAAATATAAAATTTGGGTGTAAAGGAAGAATGATGGAAGATACAGATAACTTAGCATTAGCTGTTAGAGCTTTTTGTAAAAGAGATCCTAAAGTTTTTATATGGGAAGATGAACATGCTCAACTTGTTTAAAATATTATAATTAATATATTTAAGTTAAAAAAAAAAAAATTACATATAAAATAAATTTTTAGTCAAATTTAGTAACAAATATTATTTTTTGTTCTTTTAATATATATATATATATATATATATATATATATATATATATATATATATATATATAATTACATAAATGATTATTAATATCAATCGAAATTTTTTTGATTTTAATATATTCTGTCTACTTTCTTTTTCTCTTTTTTATTCATAATTATTTATTTTACTTTTAACTATTTTTATATAATTATATCTTTTTTTTATTTTAAATATCTTATTTACTCAAATATTTTTAAAAAAAAAAAAAAAAAAAGCTTAAAAATTAAAATAAAAATCATATAAAAAAATATAAAACTTAAAAAAATTAAAAATTATACGAAATTTTATTTCTTTTTATATATATATATATATATGAAAAAAAAGTAAATAAATTTCCAAATTAAAAATTTTCAAATAAATTCTTGTGTATTAAATATTTTAACTATTTCTTAAAATACGGAATTAAAAAGGAAAATAAAAACAATAAAATTATATAATTTTTTTAATTATATGTAAAATCAATAATTTTTAAAAAGGATCTAAAAAAAAAAAATTAAAAAAATTAGAGTGGACCAAAGTTGGAAAGAAGAACAGGCAAAAACATTGAAGAGAAAATTATAGAAAAGAATAAAACCTGCAAAAAAAAAAAAAAAAAATAAAAAAATAAAAAGTAAAAAATAAATAATTATAAATATAATAAAATAAAAGAAAGAACAAATTGTAACATATAAATATATTAAATATTAAAATTTAATAACAATAATATATTTATTTGCAATAATAACTGTATGTGATTTTAAATTAAGGATATTTATAAGCTCTATTAATTATAAGTATATTTAGAAGACATAAAATTTTTAAATTATTACCAAACTTAATGTTTGAAAGAAAATAACAGTAAAATCTTTATTAGAAAAAAATAAAGTACTTATGACAAACCACGTTGATAATCCACTGTGTAAAACAGGGCCTATCATTAAATGTAAGCTTTCCTTCATTCTGTTGAAAAAAGAAAAAAAAAAATATATATATTTGAAAATGAAATATAAATAAAATATTATTAAAAAAATTTTATATAAAATAAAAAGGTTATTACTTCTCATCCCTTGTCTTTCCTAGACTGTGAGTAAAAGCTTGAACTATATGAGATGTATGATCAATGGAGAAACCTTAAAAAATATAAAAAATATAAAATATATACATATATACATATATATACATATATATATATAATGAGATATAATATTAAAAAAAAAAAAAAAAAATTTATATGTATTCAACTTACCAACTGAAAGAACTAAAATAACCATTGAAATAATATTAACTGTTATTCCAAATAAGCACATAAATCCAAAGATACATAAATCAATTAAGAAAATAATTAAGGCAATTATTACACATGAATAAAATCCTTTTATAATATAAGCAGTAACAATTAATATAGTAATAATAGTAATTCCTAAATTTTTTAATGTAACTTCTATTATTGCTTCATCTGTCTCCTTAAAAATTGAACTTAAATGAAAACATACCATTTGAACATTGTAATCTTTTATTTTTGCAATTTCTTTACAACCTTTTAGCCACTTTGATGATATTTCACTATCGTCTATGTTTTGCTGAAAATAATGAAACCTCCATGCAACTAACTTACCATTTAAAAAAATAAAATCATCTTTAAATAGTTTTGCTAAAAAATCACTTTTCATCCATTTAACGAATTTATTGTAAAATTCTTCAGGAGTTTCTTTTTTCATATAACCAATATTCTTGTTTAAAAATATTGTAAATCCATTAAAAACTGAAGAAACAAAATCTTGATTTTCAAGGTTTTTATGCATATTTAATAATTCTCTTTGTATAGCATTTTCTTCCCAATGTACATTTTTATTTATACTAGGATTATTCATCATTTCACGATCAGTTTTATCAGAATATAGATAAGAGGACGAAAATGTAGGTGTATCATTTCTTAATTTTCTATATTTACTTATGAAATCTTTATCAAAATAATATACTTCTATAAGATCACCAAAATGAGGGAAATATTTGATTTTTGCAGAAGTAAATTGACGAACGTAAGAATCTGTAGGAAATACTTTATCATATTTGATTCCTTTTTTCATAAGAGTGCATCCGTATATAGATAAAGCAATTATAAATGAAAATATAAAATACACAATAGTTTTACCTAACTTAGAAGATAAAAAGGGTACATAATAATTTTTGATTATAGATCTAAAATATTTGCCGATGTTACCCTTTGGTTCTTTATAAATATATTTATAAAATAATGCATTATCATGTGAGCTTAATAAGTATATATTTTTGTTAGGTTCAATCATGTTACTAAATGTATCTTTTGTAGTTAATTCAATAGAGCTATTAATTTTATTAAAATTTTCATTTTCTTCTATTTTATGAACCTCATCATTTCCTTCAATAGTATCTTTCATTTTTTTACAAATATTATCCTTTTCTTTCTTATCTTTTCTAAACATATGTAAAATACTTTTTTTTTCTTTTTCATTATTAGTTGACATATAATTTTTACTTGATGAATCACACAAATTATTAATACAATTTTGTTTGTTTTTCATATCATTTTCCATATCATTTATTATACATTTTTCATTTCTTGTAGAAGCTTCAATACTGCTACACATTTCAAAGTGAACACTCGCATTATTATTTAAACATTCTTTAAAGTTAATAGAATAACCTTCTGTGATGCTTTTTTTTTCTTGAATATCTTCATATATATCACTGCCAAAATCATTTTTATTTTTATCTCCTTTATTTTCTTCTATAGAATCATTTATTTCATTCGATTTTTTTTCTATCTCTTTTTCATTAATATGTATTGATGGCAAATTTTCACGTACGTTCATATTTTCATTATTTGGATCTTTACTACTTCTTTCATTCGATAAATAAATTGTATTTTTTTTTTTCTTATTAATAGATTCTTCAAATAAATATAAGTTATGTATCCATTCATATATAGAAATATTTTCGTAATCAATTGGCCTGTTTGCTGAGTCATCATCATGTTGTAAATTTGTAACTGTGTTTGTTTGTTCTGTCTTTTTTTTAAAAAGAGAACATAAAAGATTAAGAATTCCTGAAAAAATATTTTTCTTCTTTTTTTCTAATTTTGCTTCTATGCATAAAAAGCTAAGGAAAAAAGTTAAAACCATAACATAACCAAAAAATAATGAGCTAGCCGTAAACAGAGAAAAACTACATATAGAATAAAAAGGTGAAATAGCACTTATTAAAAAAGCAATTATATTAGTTAAAGTAGTAACAGTTATAGCAAGTGCACTATCTTTTAAACATATCTGAATTCTTTTTTTGTCATCTTTAATCATAAATAATAGAGAGTATGAATTTAAAATAACAAAAATATCATCTACTCCTACTCCTATAACTAAAAATGGAACAGTTTCTGCAGGTGGTACTGATTTTACTCCTAAAAAATATAAAAAACCTGAACCTGCAAGAAAACCTAAAAATCCACAAAAGATTCCCATGACTGCACACAATGGCTTACTTCTATATAAAACAGAAGTAACATTATTAAATAATGCATATAAAAAAATTAATAAAACTCCAATTAAGAATAGTAATCGAGTTAAATTATCAATTTTTGAAATTCTATCAACCTCATCTTCTAAACTTCTTTCAGTAAATATATGAAAACGAATGAATGGGCTTTTATCATCATTAGTTTTTTTATTTATAATTTTATCATCTAAATTATAAAAACGTACATAGTCAATTAACTCTTTTTCATAAGCTAAAACATATGGTTCAAATGTATAGGAACCTAATAAAGGGATTGTTGATAAAATTGCATTTGCAGATGTAATTATATATTTAGAACCCTTTTTTGTATATTGCATGTTACCTAATATTCCTTTAAACATCATTTCTTTAAATGTTTTTCTATTTACATAAAAATCTAAGTTGTCTATTTTTATTGGATTTTCTAATTTTGCATTCCCACCTTCATAATATGAAAATAATGAACTAATATTACATCGATTATTCTTTTTTTCACATATATCTTCTAAACCATACTTTATTTGCTTTTTTAGTTCTTCACTAGCTTCTCTTAGGTCTATGTTTAACTTTTTATCTGTGAAAACATTTTGCAAATTACAGCGATCTTTTTTATTAAGCATTGGAGGTATATAATAATAAGGATAAAAAATATCATTTTTGTAATCTGATAAATCAATATTAAATGATCTATCTAAAAGAGCATTTCCTTTTAGCATAGAGTTATTTTTAATTGAAAGAGAACTATTTAACAGATCTTCTTCTTCTTCTTCCTCTTTCTGTTTTTCATTTTTTTGTAACCCATTATAATCACTATCCTTCATGACATTTTTCATTTTATGTTTTGCTAATTCATTATTCACCTCAACAGGATTATCATGCATAATATTTAAATTATATTTTTTTTCATAACTTTTCAATTTTTTCGTGTGTCCATTTTTTTTTTCAGATAATGCTAGGAATACTTCTTTAGCTGCTTCATTTTGTTCTTCTATATTATTAGAATTTTTATTACATTCATTTACTTCTGATAAATCTACTCTTATGTCTTTAATCCCATCTTCAAATTTTTTTAATTCTCTTAATATATCTGGTTCTAATAAATTACAGTTAGATTCAATCAAAATAAATGATTTTCTACTTTTATAAAAAAAATCATTGATTGTTTCATTAGTTTCATAAGCATACGAGTTAGATATGGAATATAAACGATAAATATCTTTCTCATGTTCTTTATAGTAAAAACCCATAGTCAATATTAAAGAACAAAATAAACTACCAAATATAAAGGTATAAGGTCTATCATATACATAACCGGCATAATGATATAAAAGATCTGAAAATTTTTCCAATGACTTTACTTTCAATTCTCTTAATTTTGATACAACTTTTTTTAAATGCATTTTTAAAAGAATTTTTCATTAAAAATTAAAAAAAAAAAAAAAAAAAAAAAAGTTAATCTTTCAGAGAAACATAAATATTTTGTAAAAATGCAAAATTAAATATTATTAAAATATTATATAAACAATGCAAAAATTCTAAAAAAACATTATGATCAAAAATAAAAAAAAAAAAAAAGACTATTTTTTAAAAAATTAAAAAGTAAAAAATAACAGTAAAAAGTTTATATATATTTATATATATATACATGTATATATGTGCTAAATAAAAAAGCTTAAAAAAAAAAAATATTCAAAATCTACTAAAAAAAAATGAAAATAAATAAATTAAAAATTTATCTATAAAAATATAAAATAATTATGTAACTGTTAAAAATAAATTTATCAAAAATATTTAAAGAATACAAAATTTCTATTTAGAATACTATTTTTCTATATTCTATTTATAATAAAAAAGAATTTTAAAAACACAAACAATTTATATAAGATTTTCTAAAATTAAAAAAAAAAGTTAAAAAAAAAAAAAATAAAGGAAAGAAATAATAAAAGAAAAAAAAAAAAAAAAGATAAACTTTAAAAGCTTGTTTAAAATAAATGAACAAATAATATTTATGTATAAAAACAAAAAACTAAATAATTCTTTATAATAAAATATTTATTTATAAATAAAATATGACGTTTTAAAAAAACTATATTTCCTTAAATATATGTAGAAAAAGGAAAAAAGAAAAAAAAAAATAAAGTTATATAAAATTTTGTGTTATTGTTCTATGTTAATTTTACGAAACTTAACTATAATTTTTATTTTTAAAAAATTTTCGCTATATAAAAAAATATTGCATGTGTAAATTTTTTTTTTTTTTTTTTAATAACTGTAATATGCAATAAAAAAATATTTTTTAAAATATAAAAAACTAAATTTCAATTTAGTACATATTTGCAAATAGTATCTACAAAAAGCCAAAAAAAGAAAAGAATTTTATATAAAAATAGGAGTTTTTTTCTTAATTTTGCTTTTTTTATTTTATAATTATGGAAAAATTATATATATATATAAAAATATATATATATATGTAATATAAATATATATATTTATATATATTTATAAATATATTTATATATTTATATATATATATATATATTATTTATCATATTTACTTAAAGGAGTCCAAGATGAATGTTTTAAAAAATTTTTATTAATTAATTACAATTGTAAGAACAACTCTTTTAGTTAGATGAAACATTGCAACTTGCTGTTTTTCTTATACATATTTTATTCTATATATTTCAAAAAATATTGAAAACGTTGCAAGAATTTGCATGCAATTTTTATAAAAAATTACTATATACATTAAGCATATAATATTAAAAATTAAGAGTATTATTATTTAAAACAACTTTAACACCTTTACTAATATACAAATATATATATATAATTATAAGAAAAATAATAAATATTAAAATAAGAAAAAATATATATATATATATATATATATATATATATATATATATTATTCATTTATTAAATAAAAAATTTTCTTACAACTTAATATTTTTAAAAATAAAATAACAGTGCTATTAAATATTACGTTAAATATTAATGATATAAATTATTTTTCAGAAAATTATATTAGAAAAAATTCAACTTTAAATAAGAAATTTAGTTTGTTAAGAAAATAAAACGAAGAAAAAATGAAATAAATAATTTAATATTTCTTTTTTACACAATTATTATTTTTCTTTTTTCAAACTATGAGTACTATATGGAAACTTTTTAAAAAAAGTAAATATGTATGCATTAAAATATATATCAAATATTAAAAAATAAAAAACATTGAAAAAGAGAATTAATTTTTTTTCTCTTTTTTTTTTGTTTTCTTTTACTAGTACGAAAAAAAGAATTTTAGATAAACTTTCTTTTTTTTTTAATTTTTATTAATTCAAAAAAGAGAGAAATTAAATGTATATATATATATATATATATATATATATCATTTTTTTTAATCAAATTTTTTAAACACTCACAATAAAATATACTATTTTTTATTATTTCTAAAATCAAAAATTGAGAACTTTTATATCCTTATTTTTTTTTTTAAGGAAGATATATTTATAATAAAGGCCATTTTATTTTCGAAACTAAAGTTTATATAAAAATAATCAATAGATTCTATTCGTGCCAAAAAGAGAGAAAAAATAAAAATAGTTCATTTATGTGTACTTCAAAAAAAATTTATGAAATGTTTTTACTCTTTTATTGGATCAATGAAAAATGATATCCTGAGATATTTGAAAAAAAAGTGCAATTTATTATACCAATGTTACACAAATTAATATTATATATTTAAAAAATTTTCTTTTAGATATATTTAATTATAATTAAAAAATTGAAATATGAAAAAAAAAAAAAAAATAAATATTTTTTTAAATAATAGAAAATTATTTTTATTTATTATTTATATATTAACAAATAATAATTATTTGTTAAAAATGATATAGTATATTAATATGAAAAACATGCAACGTGATTTTATTATTTCTTATATATACATTTAAATTAAAAATTCGGTAATTATAAAAAAAAAAAAAAACTTTATTTTTACTTATATAGAGTTTTTTCATAAAATCATTTCATAAAAATATTTCAATCTTAAGAAAAATGTTAAGTATTTCATACTTATTTAAAATAAAAATCATTATTAAATGGTGATTTTTTAGTATATACTAATAAAAAAAAATTCTTATAAAAAATATTCATAGATATGATCAATTTTAAAAAAAAGTAAGATATTGTTAATTTTATTAGACATTAAAATATTTTTTATTATATATATATTTCAAATTTTTCTTAAAATATATATTGAGTATAATTTATTCATAACAAACATATTTATATTAATGTGTATAATATTTAAGACACTTTATTTTTAAATCATATGTATTATTTTAAAGAACTTAAATTTTTTTAATAATTATAATTTATTTTAATATTGATATATTATTTTTTAATTATTTATAATTATTATTTTTATGCTTTAAAAAAAAAAAAAAAAAAATGATATATTTAAAATTAACAACACTATTAATAAAAATGAAAACAAAACAAAAAATTCATTTAATTTTTCATATATTATTATCATAACTTTTCTATGTTATTTACTTTTTTTTTTTTTTTTTTTAAATTTCACAGTTTTGATAGGATTTGTTAATTAAAAATGCACACATTGAATAAATATATCAATGTATTTTATAAAATAAAATCTAAAATATTTATTTTAATATATTTATAAATATAATGAACTAATAAAATGTTTTAAACATTATATAAAACAAAGTCTATCAAATAAGCATGAATTTTTACATTCCTTCTTAAACTTAAGGGGAGCTTTTTTAAAAAGTAATATATTTCGTCTTCTAATATGGAAGATCTCTTGTAAGATTTACATACGTCCTTATCATTGTGTTCATATGATAATAGATCCACTATTTTTTTGAGATAAATTATATTTATTTTCTGAAAAAAATGAAAATTAAGTTCTTCATTTTCGTATATTTTTTGTTTTACATTATCACAAAAAAAATATAGGCATGTAAAACCTATATACAATTGCTTGTATAAAATTAGAGAGTTTATGTAAAAATCGCAGCTAATTAAAAGATGAAGCAAATATGTAGTAATTAAAATATATGATTTAAAATGATTTTCAAATATTTTAAGAAATAGACATGGAAGCAATAAATAAGAAAATTGCATATAAAAAAGCATTCCTATTTTTTCATTGTTTAAATATTCATTTTTTTCAAATATATTTATGTTTTCTTTTTTTTTGAATTCTTCAATTTTTTTTTTTCTAAAATTGTAGATTCTATTATAATCTTCTTTGCTGATAATTCTCTCATTTTTATTAGAAGGTAAAGCAATATTAATAAAAATGTTCCAATTACTAAAAAATATATGAGGAAATAAAAAAATTTTTTTATTTATATGCATATTTGTAAATTTTTTAGAATTATTAAAGAATTCTTCATTATCTTTTATATTTTTAAAAAATTGTAATTTTAGAAAAAGATAAAAATAATGATAAATATTTTGATTATATGTGTTAAAATAAAAGAAACTATAAATTAATTGCACTGTATTTTTTAAAAATAACTGTGTATAAATTTGGTTTTTTTTTTTTGTTTCTTCTATCTTATAGATACATAAATTGATTATTTTTTTTTTATTTACAAAAAAGTTAGATATGATAAAGCTGAAAAAGTTTAATGAAGAAACACGCATATATGATTTAACATTTTGCAAAAATATGCATATAAAGGAAAAATGTGAACATACATCATTGGAACTTTTGTATTTATTACAAGAAAAATGTTGTAATTCATTAAATTTTGGTCTCTCTTTGATATTCCTCTCTTTTTTAATAAATAAATTTAATATTTTTATATTTCTTGCATTACATTTACAAAGATCAAATAGATTATATTTAAAACTATTTAAATAATTTATCTGAAAATTAAAACATATGTTGCTTATATCTTTGATTAATTTGTATTTTACAAATTCAATAAAAATTAATGTAAACAAATATAAATATGGATGGGATAATTTTTTGATTATTTGAGAAATATCAATAAAATTCTTATATGTAAAATTATCAATATGATTATAAGATATAAATGTATTTTTAATAAATTTTTTAAGAAAAAGTTCATATGGCAGTTTCTCATGTTTTATAATATTTGTTAACTTCGTAATACTTTTATTATTATCCATATATTCAAGATTATTTTTCTCTTGAAGACAATTATTCATAAAATTTTCACACATCTTCTTACTATATTTTTTAAATTTAAAGTTATTATTTTTATAATTATATTCATAATATAATTCTTCATTAAGAGCATCTTTATATGATGGTATTATTTGACTGTTTTTATGAATAATTTCTGTTCTATTTTGATTCAATATTAATAGGAATAAATTATCTTTAATAAGTTGAAATTCACTTAAAAAATACAAGGTATTTATGTAATCAATTAATTTTTCATGGCTTACTTTAAAGTAACATTTTTCTGTTTCAAATGTAATTATATTATTATATATTATTTTTTTTGATAAATTTTGTATATAAGGATTTTGCAAATATTCAATGTTAATTAATCTACTATTTTTATTATAAACATATTTAAAAAGAATATTTGTAATATCTAAAATAATGTTAAGATTAATTCCAGAAAACATTGTTAAAAAATTAAAAGAAGATATTATGCAATATATAAGAATATTATTTAAATACATATTTGATTTATTTAAAATTATAAAAAGAAAAAGTTTAATTAAATCTTTATAGTATAATTCTATTTTTTTATTTTTATATGAATTAAAAATTGCTAATTTTTCTTTTTTTATAGAAGAAAAATTATCATTTTCTTTTATGTATAAAAAGGTTGAAAATATAAAAGGATTAGCGTTTACCCATTTTATTTCATCATTTCTGTTTTCATTACTATTAAAATATAATCCCATAAGAATTCTGCGGCAAAAATAATTATTAAAATTATATATACAATTATAAAAATCATTTAGACATATATTGTTTTTTTTGTAGATATCATCATCTTGTATATTATTCTTTAGTAATCTATAACGAAGAGATCCGTTACTATTACAAATACTATTCAAAAAGATATTGTAACTATAAAGCTTGAACAATTCTATATATTTTTCTAAAATCACATATATGTCATTTATTATTTTATCTTCCTTATTTGTTTTATTTATGTTTTTAAATGAAAAAATACTAATAATTGTTTTTAATGTTTTAGAAAATTCAAAAAGAATTTTTGAGTCTAGGTTTAAGTAAATTATTTTATTTTTTAATAAGAAATAACTTATTTCATTATGAATATCATTTTTATTATCTTCTTTATAATTATTTTTTGGAGTATTAATAAAATTTTGAAATTTAAACCGATTTTCACAGTCTACCTCACTGTAGAAATTATTAAAAATTGATTTCAGTTTAATTCCTTTATTTATTTTATTATCATTTATTACAGAAATAACTTTTGTTCTTCTTAAAGCTATATTTAAAAACAAATTTAGATAATAAAAATTTTTTGAAGAAAAAAAAAATGAATAATATATACTTTTGTAAGTAAAAATATAAATTAAATCTTCGTAATAATATGGGTTGTTATAAAGTACGGAAACATTTTTTGGTAAATATTCATATAAAATTTTAATAGTAATATAAGAAATCTCATCAAAATTTTTTTTATTTAAATTATAAATTATATTGCCTATTAAATTTTTCTTCAGATTATTGCTATAAGTAATATAGAAAATTTTTTCATTGTTTTTATGTGTGTTTCTTTTTTTTCTTTTAAGCATCTTTTGAATTATTTTTTGATAAAATGATATTATATCAAAATTAGGTATATTACCAAATTGAAACACTTTTTTATCTAAATAAAAATCTATTATTAATGCAAAATTTTTTAAAAAAAATAGTGAGTTATTTATATTGAAATAAATAGATCCATTGTTGAAATCATTATTTTTTACAACAAATCTTTGAGAAGTAAAAGTATTAATAAAACAATTACTTATTTTATAAATACCATTTTTATTTGTTTGCACATTGTTAAAAAATAAATAACTTGAACTATTTTTGCATATATGTGAATATCCTATTTTATACATTGAAAAATAATCACCTTTAGCTATTCTAAATTGTAATTTATCTTTTCTTTTGTTATTATAGATAACTTTTGTTATTTCTTTTTTCAGCTTTTTTAATGAAAATAGTATCATCTTAAACTAACAATTAATTTTATATTTTAGTTAAAAACATCTGAAAAACATTTGCATTGTTATAATTTTTACGGTAAAAATTTTATTATTTTTCTTATTCCCTAACTTATATAATCATCCAAAGAAAATAATTTTGATTTTTGTTAAATGTAAAATATAATTCATTTTTAAAAAGTATACAATAAATTAAGAATTCATGCATTTTTTTTTATAAAGGCAGAAAAAAATGTTAATCTTTTTATAATTTATTTTCTACAAAAACTTTACATTAGTATTCCCTCCTTTTTCCATTCTTATATAAATATAAAAATCAAACTTATTTTTTTACTAAAAATAAATGAAGGTTTCATTTCTTTAACAATAAATAAAAAAAAGTTATAAAAATGATATTTTAATAGGAAAAAGTTGCAATATATTAAAAGAATAAATAAAAAGAAAAATATTGTTTTATGTTAATAAACATAATTTTTGCTTTCACATTTATATATATAATTGAAGGAAACTTGTAGAATCAGAAAAGAACTTTTTTTTTTTTTTAATAATTTAATATTTTATTTATTATATAAAAAGCACCGTCTTGTAAAATGAAACAGAAATTTTATTTTTTATTTCAATATGTTAGCTATTTCTACAAATTAATATGAATTATTGAAGAAAACATTTATTTTTTCGCATATTTTTTAGTTAAATTTAATAGGTTAAAATTGAAAGAATGTGTTGATTACTTTTAAAAAACGTAAAAAAATAAAAATATATATGTTAAATAAAAATGAAATATTAAAAAAAAAAAAAATAAATAAAACAGCAGTTTTTTTTTTTTTTTTGAAAATATATACAGAATGTAATTTTGAAAATTCTTATATATCAAAAAGAAGGGTAAAGTTTTTCATATTTTTAAATGCCTTATTCTTAAAATAAAAAAGTGAATAATTAAATATGTTATCACAAAAATTCACTTTAATATACATTATTAATAAGATAAGCTCTAATTTATAAACAAAAATGGCAAATCTAGTATTTTAAATTCTAATATATAATATTCAAAAGATTCAAAGTTCTCTTTTTATTCTCACATCTTTAATATATTGAGTTCAAAAAAATATTTTCAAATAATAAAAAGTTATGATGTAAAGGATTAAACAAGAATATCAAAGATTTATAAAGTTTAAAAAATAAAAATGTTTTAAATATATACAAAACAATACTACATTTCTAAAAAATATATAATGAAATTATAAAAAAATAAAAAAAGAAAACTAGCTGTAAAATAATTAATATTATAAGTTTGAATATATTCCGACAAATGGAAATAAATCTTTTTTTTTTTTTTTATTTTTTTAGTTACAATTTACTAGTTTATTTCTATTATTTGCTACGTAATTTCGAAATATCTTTTTTTTTTTTTTTTAAATATCAAAATGCTAATATTGTATAAATAGAAATACGTTACTATTAAGATATAAATAATAAAAATAGACTAATATTTGAATTTTTCACCATTTTTTATTTTTAAATGTATTTTAGTTTTTTTAAAAATATAAGAAATAAAATGATATTTATTTAACTTTAATTGTATATAATTTTTTTAACTTTTACATTCCATAAAAAGCCCTACTGAAAATCTGTTTAGTTTTTATTTAAAAAAGAAAGCTTATTATTTTTTATTTTATGTTTCTATTTATATATATATATATATATATTTTTTTTTTTTTTTAATTTTTTTTTTTTTTTTTTTTTTGGATTCTTTTATTTTTTAATGGTTTATTTTAACTTATGCTTTTATCTTTTAAATCTCTTAATATTTGAAGTAAATATAGAACATGTATATTCAAAAAAAAGAAAAAAGAAAAAAAAAATTAGCATGTGATTTTGTATGTTGTTTGACAACATGCATAATTTTATGAATATTAATTAAAAATTAATAGATTAAATCATTTTTATACTCTTACAGATTTTTTCCTTAATTTTTGAAGTACAAAATTAGAAAAAATTAAATTATATGTGTACATAATTATGTTGTAATTTTATATTTATATGCATAAAGTTTTTTTTAAGACTCATTTGCATTAACAGTTCATTAATTTCTTTTTTTTTTCTTATATGTTATTATGTTATTTCATTTAATTTATATTTACATTATTTATTCAGAAACTTTTTTTAATCACTTAGATACAATTTTCCTTAAAATTAAATATTTTTTTTAATGTACTTAAAATATTCAGTATGTAAATATAAATAATTCTGTGTGTTTAAATTATATTTATATATAAACATAATTATATACCTTTTAACCATTTATATTTTTTTTTTTCTGAATTATACATATATTCATATTTATTTTATATATCTTTTAGTTATAACTGAATATTTATTTATTTTATATATTTATGTATTTATTCATTCTTTTTTATGTTAATTTTTTTTTTTTTTTTTGCATAGAATATATATTCCTCTTTCATCATTTTTAATTATATTCCTTTTGAAATTAAGCTTGTCTTATACAGTTACAATATATATATATATATATATATATATATATATATATATATATATATGGACACAATAAGCTGAATTATATAAATGGTATATTTACATATAAATTATCTTTTTAGCTGTTTTACTTTTTTATTTGTATAAAATATATATAAAGAAAATAAAAGTTTTTATATTGATTATTTATATATTCATATGTTTTAAAATTATTTAATAATTAGAATGAAGTGTATGCAACAAAAATATATATATATATAAATTGAGCATAATTTTTTTTTTTTTTTTAAATCAAAAATAATTGGAAAAAATAAAAATTCATAAATATTATTTTTATTTCACCCATTTGTTTGATTCCTCTTTTTTTTCTCGTATGTAGAAAACTTTTTTTTTTCAAGCATGTATAAAGATGACTGTACTGAACGACGGAATAAATAAAAAAGAACTATAATAATATTTTTGTCTTTATATTATTGTGCATTTTTTATTTTTATTTTATTAGATAAAATATTTTCATAAAACATTATTCATTTTTATATTAATACATTCATATAGAACATACTTCTTTTTAATAACTATGAGCATATATGTACATTTTTAATTATTTTATAATATATTACTATTTTTTTTTTGTATTTTTATATATTCTTTTATTTATTTTTTTATTATCATTTTTTTTTTTTTTTTTAATTCATTTCTTCCATATTTATAAGTATTTAAAGAGTATTTTTTGACTATAATTATATTTTAAATTGATAATTTTAATAATTAAACAATATTTTTATGTAAAATATTTTTTTTTTTTTTTTTTTTTTTTTTTTTGCTAAAGATGATAATCAACGAGAAAAAAAGTAAATATTTTTATATAAAAAATTTTTGCAAAGTATGAATATAATAACATCGATTTACTATTTTTTTTTTTTTTTTGTTTATTTCTTGATTTTTTTTCTTTTTTTTTTTTTTTGTTATGAATTTAATTCTGAAAATTTACACAATCTATAATTTTTTTAGTTGTCTATGTGCAATGTAAGACTACATCTTGTTTTTTTTTTTAATTTTTTTTTGTATTCTAAAATATGTAATAATAAATTAAATAATGTCAAGAAAATTGTTAATATATTTTTTTTTTTATACTTAATATATTTATATGTAAATAATAAAATAGTTGTGATATATATGTGCAAATATATTTTTTTTTTTGTATCATACTGTAATTTAAATATACATAAGCTTACATATTCGTATTTTTTTTTTATTTTTGAATATAAAATTTTTAATGATTTTTATTAAGATTAATTTTTTCTAATTTATATATTAATGTTTTTAATATCATTAAATTGGATTGTATAAAAAGAAAGGAATATTTATTAATTTTAAAAAAAATTTTATCATTTTTTTTAATTTTAGAATGGATATACATTATAATGTAGATGTAATAAATTTATTAAATAGACTGCAATTTTTTTTTTTTTATTTTAAATATATAATTTTTTTTTATTATTCTATTATACATATATTTTTCTTTCATTTATTAATATCTCACACTAATAATAAAGTTATTTCTTGCTATAATTGAAAATTAATTAATTTTTGTAAAATTTAATAAATTATTTTTGGGTGCTACCACATTTTTGAAAAAGGAATAAAAATTCCTTTATATAACTATAAATAAATATGAAAATATAAAAATTAACAATAGAAATGAGCTACTTGTATTAGAATAATTAATTTGACTTGATATGTTTTTGATTCTTTTTGATTTAGGTTATCTGATTAATTTTGATTTCAGTTGCTATAATTTATGTAAATTGATTTATTTTGATATATTTAAGTTGATTTCCGTTTTTCTTTATTTGATATTTGTTTGATTAGATCTTTTTTAATTTGATTCTATTCTTTGTAGTTTTTTTTTTACTTTTTTTTTTTTTTTTTAATGTGCATAGATAAGAAAAGCTGATGTTAATAAATGTATTTTATATTTTAACAAATATTTACTATAAAATAAAAAGATTTTGAAGATGTTAAGAAGTAAAAAGAAAATAAAGAAAAAAATATACAATGATGAATTTAATAATATAAATAAAAATATTAAAGATAAATATACATTTAAATATTTAATAGCTGTTGGAGGATTTTCTTGTGTCTATAAGATAAAAAAAAAAAAAAAAAAAAAATTTTACGCATTAAAAAATATAAAGTTTTCTGCAAATATATTTAATTATGAAAAAAAAATTTTGTTAAATTTAAGAGAAATTGAATGTCTGAATAAATTGAAGAATCACCCAAATATTGTTAGAATGCATGATTGTTGGTTAGAAGTAAATGAAGTTTTATCAAAATCAAAAAAAAAAAAAAACTTAATTATTTCATTATCAGGAAAATTACAAAAACATAGTAAAAAAAAATCTTCAAATTCCTTAAATAATAATGAATCATTTTGTTTAAATAAAAATAATAAAAGTGAAGTTACTAATGATAACTTATTGAAATTATCTAAAATAAAGAAACTTGAAGAAATAAATTACTTTAATAATAATGAAGAATTTTATGCCAGTAAATGTCAATTAATAACTTCTAAAAATAAACATGATCAAAATGAAGTATGCAAAATCAAAAGAAATTCTGTTAATAATTCTAAAAATTTGAAAAAAAAAAAAGGTAAAAACAGTGAGAGCATAAAAGGAGTGAAAACTGTATTTTTTCCAGAAATAAATTCATTTAGGAAAAATAATTCACTCTTCAAAATAGATAGTTATAATAAATGGAAAATATTTCGATTATATGAAAATTATTTGAAAAATGAGAATTTTAAACCATCTCAAGATATATATAAAATGAATGATTTAGGTCATTTATATATGAATTTAACAAAATATAATGATGATCTAAAAATATTTTATATTTCTTTTTCAAATTTATCAAATAGTCTCTCATATATTCAAAGCATATTTAAAAATAAATATGAATTAGACGATTTTATTTTCTGTAAGAATAATAAAATTTTATCAAATTTTAATAAAATAAATAAGCATATAAATGATTTTAATAACTTGTTATCTAAAAACAACTATGATGATTCTTGTATATATAAAAAACTTAGTAGTATACTAAGCATTGAAGAAAATAATAATAAACCATATAATTTTTTGTGTAGAGATTTTTTATGTAATAAAATAAAATGTAAGAAGAGTATCTATGCATATAGATACAGTAATTTTATTCTAAAAAATTATTTTTCTTCTAATTATATAAAAATAAATAAAAACCTCAAAAAATCCAAAGTAAATAAAAATAATAAAATTATTTATAAGCCTAAATTGAAGAGAATTATTAGTTTTCTTACAAAAGGAAATATACGTATTTACAAGGCTATAGGAAAATTTTTATATCTTGTAGGAAAATCAAAGTTAAATTTAAAGAGATCAAAAAACATTTTAAATAATTATTTATTAAAAAATATAAGATTAAGTTCTTTAATTTGGAATAATTTTAACGGTAATAATGTAAATAATTTCGTACATCCAAAAAAATATGAGTTGAGTAATGATGAATGTTCTATAAAACATTACATTCTTTACGAAAACACAAAGAGATACTTATATAATTTAACTAATTCTTATAATGTTACAAAAAAAAAGAATAAAAGAGAAAAAATTGTTTTAAAAAAAAAAAAGAAAAATATTCTATTTTTTTCATTTGATAATTATTTGTTCTTAATAAATAAAGCTCTAAAATTTTTTAAAGTAAAAAATGAAAAGGTTGTTAAAATGGTTCCATATAATTTATATGTTGAATTAGTAATTTTACTTTTTGACTTATTTTATAACAAAGATAAAAAAAAAAAAGCTAGTGTTATTTATACAAATTTTAAAATTTTAAAAATATTACAACATAATTTGAATGTAAATAGGTTAGATGATGATTGCAATGACATAAATATTAAAAAAAAAAATGTGAAGTCAACTATTTTAAAATTTTATTTTTTATTAATTTTAAAAAATATAGAAATAAATATGAAAATATCTTTTAATTTTTTCTTAAGAAAAAAAAAAAATATGTTTTTAATTAATATAAATTATCAAAATAGAATACTAAAAACCTACTTGATAATTTTATTTAAAATATTAAAAAGTAGAAGAGTTTATATTTTAAGTAAAATTCAACAAAAAATATGTGGTATACTAAAAGACATGAAAGCATTTTATAATATAATAAGGAATAGATATATAAATAATTTTAAAAATAAAGATTATGTAAGTATTAAAAAATGGAATAGAATTAATGAATTGTTATTACATAATAAATTAAAATATAATAAAGTATTAAAAAATAAGAATTATGAACTTGAACTAAATCATCACAAAACTATAATTAAAAAAGAAATACATAAAAGTTACTTAAGTTGTAAAAGAAAAGATATTGATGATAATATTAATATTTTAAAATATAGGAATAATTATTATCCATATTTCATTAATGAAAATAAAAATGATACTGTAAATTCGCATATTGAGAAATATAATTTTGATTATTTTTATAACATGAAAGATTTAAAATATGATAACAAAAATATTAATAAAGATAAATTAAACTCGAACTTAGTAAACTCTATATTTAAATGTGAAAATAATTTAATTGACAACGAATTTTATAATTTTGTTAAAAATAATAATATAAAAAATACAACAGAAAATAACAAAAATGTTAAAATATCAATTACCTCTCCAGTAAAAAATGATTTCATTCATCATAAAAAGTTTATCAGATATAAATATACGGATACATATTTTATGCATGAACTAAAAATTATTATAAATGATAATATTATGAAGAAAAGGAAAATACCTTATTATAAAATTGATATATATTATAACAATTACTTTTTCAACAGTATTTTTAATTATGATGAAAAAATAACTTTAACAAAAAATCAATTTATAAAAATTATTTTCAGTAACGATAAAATTTATAAAAATGAAGAACTTTTAGAATTAATGAAAAATAATTCAAAAAATGTTTTGAATTTATTTGAAAATATATCTTACAATATTAATAATTTAAGACAGTTAAAAAATATCAAAGATAATAGAAATATAGATTATAACGATCATGGTAAAATGAAGGATGATTATTCAAAAATTGGTAATAAAAATAATAGTAATCATAATCAAATTAAATTAGAAAAAAACAATTTATTAAAAAATAGACATCTAATGCAGGAAATGAATGTTAACAGAAAAATATTTTTAACGAAGAAAAAGAAAATTTTATGCAAATACGAAAATGAAGAAATTCAAAATAATATATATGATACAAATAACATTCAAAGTCCTTTAACCTATACAAATACAGGTCCACTTCATAAAATGAATATATATCATAATAAAGATGAAACAAATTATTTTTTATTTAAAATTCAAAGTAATAATAATTTATTTAATAATAAAATAAAAAAAAAAGAAAAGAAACATCGTAAAAAAAATCTCGAAAATAAAAAAGAAATATTAAGCATGATGAATTTTAATCAAAAATACAATAAATTAAAAAATATTAATGATAATAAATTCAAACAGAGTATAAATAATACAAAAATTAATTATAAGAAGGAACATAATAAAAATATAAACATTCTTGAAACATTATATAGTAATTTGATATATTATATTATCTTAATTTTCCTAAATGAATTTTCTATATATGAAAGAAGTACAAATTATCAATGCAATATTTTTAGTGTCAATTATCAAAAGGTAGATTTTTTATTTTATTTAAAAACAAATATATTTATAAAATACAAAAATGAAAAAGAAATTTTTACAGAAAGCAATAAAATAGATATTTTTTTTGATTTATGTAATTCACTTATGACAAAACACAACGAAAAATATCATATATTAAATTATAAAAAATTAAAGTCTTTTTTTTCTAAGAGTAATACTAATAAATGTTTAAAAAGAAAAAATTTGAAATTTGTTTTTGATTTACTCTATAAAGTATTAATTATTTATAATTATTTATTGACAATTAAAATTGAAAATAATATATATGGTAATATGTTTTTCCTAAATTTATATATTTTATATAGCTTTAAAAATAAAAATTATTTTTTTTATAAAATTACAAAAAATTGTCAATTTAACAAAGTAAATGTAGAAAAGGTATATTTTAATAAAATTAAGATGTTCTATTATTATATGTTTAGTATCATTTTAAAAGTAAATGAGAATTATTTTGATAGTATTTGTGAATATAGAAATTATCATTATTTGTTAAATATTTTGAAACAAAACTTTTTAACATATAATATATATATTGAGTTATTCAATATATTCACACAAAAAATTTTTAAAAATTTTTATTCATTTAATAAAAATTTTAAAAAATATTATAAGAAAAGTTATAAGTTGTGTAAAAAAAATATGAATAATGTCTTTTACATCTCTTGTATAAAATGTTATAAAATTTATTTATTGAGATTTTATAATATGGTTTTAAATAAAATTAGACATTATGAAGTTAAAATAATCAAATTATTTTGCCTCATAGAAGGAAAATATTTAAATAGTTTGAAATGCGATGACAAAGATTATTTTGTTAACTTATTTAAGAACAATTTGTATAATTTTTTGAGAAATAATAACTTTTTAAAAAATAAAAGTAATATAATTCATTCATATAATGTTTATTATAATAGGAATATTAAAAATAAAATAATGGATGAACTATATAATTTTTTTATATGTAATATTCATTTTTACAATTATTACGAAATAGTTAAGATTATTAATCAAAATATTTTAAACGAATTAACAAATATCCCATTTTTACATAACTTAACAAATGAAAAAAGAAGAAAAACGTTTATTCAAAAATACAAAAAGGAAATAGTTATATTTGATGGAATAAAAGAAAAATACGGAAAGAAAAATATTTTTATGAATAAGTTAAAAAGTAATAATAAAATGTTAGACGGATATAAATATAAATTATTTAATTATAACATATTAAGTAAAAACAAAATTACTTTTTATCATTATAATTTTCTAATTATATATATAATTAATTTTTTAAACTATAGCAATTTGTTAACAAACATATATATGAAAAAAAATGAACAAATTAGTTTATCACAGGATGAAGAAGAAATAATAAATGATTTATTTGTTGTTAATTTTAATAATTATTTTATATATTATATATATTTCTTAACTAAAATAATGAGGTATAAAAAGTTTAATAACAAAAATATGGATTCCTTGTCTCTCTTAATAGATATAACTATTATTAGAAAAACAACTTTAGATATAATTTTTAATATAAAATCTATTAGTAGCAGTTTATTTGTTATGAATCCTTTATTAATTTTTAAAAACATTTTACCTCAGAATAGATCAAATTATAATATAAAAGATTATAATTATAAAAATAATGATAATTTGAGAAAAATTAATTGTAATAATAAGAATATATGTTATAACATTTTTAAAAGATCAAATAATTATTTACATATTTTTTATTACAATATACTTAAGGAATGTTTTAAAAAATATAGTAGAATTATATTACTTCTTCATTATTATATATTGATATTTAAAAAGTCCATCAGTTTAACAAAAAAAAAGTACATAAAGAAATGTATATTGGAAAAAAATAAAAAATTTGTTATCTATAAATCTGTTATATTTAAAATAAATAAAAAGAAATGGAATATAATAAAACACAATAGTTTATTTAAAACTAACAAAAATAAAAAAAAATGCATTTTAAAAAGAAATCAAAAAAAGTTAGAAGACAAATATTTTATTAATGATATAATAAAAAATAGTATGAAAACTAATTTTTTATATCTTAATGTTACAAGAGTTATTTATAAAAAAAAGGAAAAATATTTTATATTAAATATTGTGAAGGATAAAAAATATTCCCTTCAATATTGTAATATTTTTGATATATATTATATGAAAACTCATAGGTGTAATAATTTTAATTCTTTTCAAATATTCAGTGATTATTCTAAAGAAGAAATAATAAATAATAGTAGCAGTATATCAAATTTAAATAATGATCATGTTCATTATATTAAACAAATATATATTAATAGTTTAAAAAAAAACAAAAGTCTTATATTTTTAAAAGTACTCTTTAATGAGATTAATCCTATGAAAAAATGTGAATTCAATAAAATAAAATTGAAGAAAAATAATTTTAATTTTAATAACAAATACAAAAATAAAAAAAAAAAGAACACCATTCATAATTTGGGAAAAAAAAAAGTGGATATATTAAATGATAGAATAGCATTTATAAACAAACGGAAGAATGAAAAAATAAAAAAAAAAGAAATTGAACACTTTTTTGAAAATATTCAATATTCCAGTGAAAATGAAGATTTCAAAATAATTTTTGAAAACAGCAGTAATAACAAAGGGAAAAAAATTAAAAAAATAAAAAATATGAAAAAAAGAAAAGTTGTATTAAAATACAAAGGAATTAAAAAAAAATACACAAGTCTTAACTACACTAAAACATATCACAATATTCTTAAAAGAAAGCAAAGAAATATATCTTCATATCTCTATATTAAAATTTTAAGTGATGCATTAAATGCAAAATATATCAATTTCATTACTTTAAAAAATAGATTTAGTCAGAATAATGATAAAATATATAACTGTCCTATAAGTAATTCAAAGAATTTTTTGTTATTACGTAAAAATAATAATAATTGCTCTAATATATTAAATAAAGTTAATAAATCAAATAGCTTTAATAATTTTACTTATAATAATGAAGTATGCAATAATCAAAATTTTAATAAGATTAATGAACATATTTACGTTGACAAAAAAGAAATTAATAATGATAGATTTATTAAGAACTGTTTTTCTTCAAGTATAGAAAAACATTATAAGACTTTAGAATTTATGAATAAGGAACTCCTGATCCGAAATTCATCAAATGAGTATTCACTTTTAAGAAATAAAACTCATTTATATTACAATAAAAATAGCAAAAAGAAATATAATCAAAATAGTAGAAAAAATATGAATAATTATAATGATTATGGTTATTTTAGTATTTTAGAAAATAATACTATAAAGAAATTATTAAGTTATTCAAGTAGTATTTTGGATAATGAGATTTTAAAAGGAGATACATTGGAAAAAAATTTAACACATTTTTACTCTGATGAAATAAAGAGTAATAATGAATTAAATTGTGAACATTTTAACATAAATTATAATAAAAATAATATGGATAGTTTTAGGAATCAACTAACTAAAAATTACGAGGATCTGATGTATAATAATACAACTTGTTCCTACAATGAATCATCCTACAAGAAAAAATTAAAATTTTATTATAAAACAAATTTATATACAAAAGAAATAAAAAATAAAAAAATTAATTTTTTTTTTTTTCAAAAACGAAATCAGCTAAATTATAAACAAAAAGCAAAATTTAAGTCCAAAAAAATAATAAAAAAAATATGCGAAATAAAAAATGATTTAAATTTAAAACAAAAAAAAAAAAAATTAGATGAAAAAATAGAAATGTATTCATCTAGTAATAATTGTATATTATTCAAAATTTCGAGAAAAAACAATAAAAAATATATGAAAACTAATCTGAATTTTAATTCTCCTAAATATTTTACGACGATTTATAGTGAAAGATTACATCCGTTGAAATCATCAAGAACTTTTCATAATATTCAAAATCAAGACACTTTAATTGAAAACCCTTATAAAAATAACAGTTCAATAAAAAAAAAAAATGAAAAGGTTTCCGGATTACTTAAAATGGATATAATCCATATTAAATTAATATTTCTTACTAATTTAGTAAATTCTTTTAACTATTTTTATAATATTTCAAAATTAAGTATAATTAATAATATGTATTTTAATTTATTTAAAACCGAAAAGATATGTTATGTACTTTTATGCTTAGAATACCTTAAATTTCTTCGTAAAAGTTATTTAATAAATGAAGTAGACTTTAAAATGAAATTTCCTATAAGAAATGAATATGAAAAAAATACCATTTGTGATATTAACTCCGATAATAATAATAATAATAATAATAATAATAATAATAATAATAATAATAATAATAATAATAATAATAATAATGATAATAATAATAGTTATATATTTAATATTCTAAATATAGAATACATTGAAAAATTAGAAAATTTTCTAAATAAAATCTTTTTTATTATAATATTTCTTGAAAATGATTACAACTATTTTTACTATATAAACCAAATTAAAAAACAGAATTTTAATTATAATAAAAAAATTATGAACACAAGGATGATTATTACCCCATATATGTATAAATTCAAAGTATCTAATAAAATAAAAAAAAACATTATTAAAAAAAAAAATATCGTATATAATAATAACAAAGTGCTTAACGTAAAGATGAAAAAAAGTTTTCTTTTAAGAAATAAACTAACAAAAACAAGGAACGAAATAAATAAAAGGAGAAATAAAAATCTTACATTTGTTAATTCACACATAAATAATAAAGTAATAAGAAATCAGATAAAACAAAATTTTTTAAATGTTTCTACTAATGTTGCATCTTTTAAGAAAATTCTTGATAAGAGTTTTCATTTTCTATTAACAGTTAATCAAATAAATATGAAAATAAATAAAAAAAATGAGTTTTTATATGAAAATAAATATTTTTTTAAAGACATCTTTTTAAATTTTCAAAGATATGCGTCTTCTTCTTTAAAGTATAATTATTTTTTTCAAAACAATATAATTTATAAAAACTTTAAATATTTTTTTTTTCATAATTGTTTTAATATAATAAAAAATACATATTACACACAAAAAAATGTTCAGCTTTTTTACAAAAATAAATGTGATTATAATTGTAATGATAATAATCAAACGCATAAAAATAAAAGTGATATTACTAGCTATTATAACAATTATAATATAAGTGATTCAAATAAGGATATTGATAATAATAACAATAATAATGATAAGAAATATTTTAATTATATTGATAATAATGAAGGTAATTATTATGACTATTATGGAAATCATACACAAACGGACAGTAATAGAAACATTAATTATTTGCATACAAAAATATTAAGTATTTTAAATAAAAGTAAAAAAAAATTAAATTTTTTAAAACATGAAAATTATAAAAATAATAATTTTAATTCCTTTTCTTTAAAAATAAATAACAAGCATAATAAACATAATTTAAAAAAAAAGGAGAAATATAAATTTAATTTATATATAAGAATGGAATATTGTAATAACACATTAGAAAATTATATTAATAGGAGAACATATATTAATTTTAAAAGAAATCAAGAAATTATCCACATGATAATAATGGGATTACATTACATTCATAAAAATAACATAATGCATCGTGATTTGAAACCATCTAACATATTCATTTGTGATAACAACATTGTTAAAATAGGTGATTTTGGTTTAGCTTCTTATGATTATTTAGATGTAAAAAAAATTAATATGCATTCAAAGAAATGTTCAGTTGCAAAAAAAATTCATAGCATAAATGAGATGCATTCTGAAAATAACTTTAATATGAATTCAAATGAAAGCATCATAAAAAGAAGCTTAAATAACCAAATTAATATTAAAAAAAAAGAAAACGATAATTATGCATTATCATACTTAGGTAGAAAAAAAGTATTTTATCACTTAAATAAAGAAATTTTTAAGAAATATATAGAAAATGATAAAAAAAACTTTTCATCAAATTATGAATGCTTTAATAATTTACAAAACAAAATAATAAATCATTTTTATGAGTTAGATAAATCAGAAGAGTATAATAACTTACAAAAATTAAATAAGCTAGATAAATTAGTTGAATTAAACAAGTCAAAAAAATTAAAAGTAACAAATGAGCTACATATATCAAATAAGTTAAGCCAATTAAGGAAGTTAAAAATTTTAAACAATTTTAAAGAATCAAATATATTTCATAGTAATATAGATAACACAGAAACATCTGAACATAAGCATATCAAGGATAATTTTTCTATTAATAATAATGATAGATATGATAATAATGAAATATGCATAGATAATCAAAACAGTATAAATGGAATTTTTACATTTAAAAAAACTCAGAATAGTAAAAATTTTACGCCTTATGATAAAAAAATATGTGGTAAAACTATTAGTAACACAAATATAAATAAATATATGGAGAATCAAAATAAAGACAAAAAAAAAGATAGTAAGTCTGTAAATTGTGATACCATGAAGAATCTTTTTATGATTTCTAAGAAAAGTAACAGTACTAATATTGTATTAAGTAAGAATAAAAAAAAGAAGACTAGTAAAGATGAGAATAATAATAAAAAAAATTCTTATCGTTGCACTACTAAGAAAACATTTTTATTTAATTCTTTAAAAAGATACAATAGAAATAGTAAGTACAAAAACAAAAGAAATAATTTTAAAGAATGTAACTTTTATTTATTTCAAAACATTAATAATAATAAAATGTTCAAAAAAAAGTATTTAAAGAAAAAAGAATCTTGTAACTATCAGACAAAAATATCAGAAAAATCCAATTTTAGTTTGAAAGATAAAATGGAATCTTATCATACTCTAGGAATTGGTACGAAAATGTATTCAGCTCCTGAACAACTAATAGAACATAAATATACAAAAGCAGTTGATATGTTTTCTCTTGGTTTAATTATCGTTGATCTATTTACGAGAACTAAAACCAACATGGAAAGAACGAAAATTTTATGTAATGCAAGACAAAGAATTTTACCAGATTTGCTAATTAAAAAACATCCAAATGTAGCAAAATTATGTAAAAATTTATTATCATTAGATTATAAATCTAGATTAACATCAGAAGATTTATACAATAAAATATTAACTGTAGGTAATGTGTTTTATTTTAACAAATAATTTGTTCTTTTATTATAAAAACATATATTTTATTTTTTCTATATTTTTCGAATATATTTTTATGTTTTATTTATGATATTTTTAAATTTATTTTAATATTTAAGAAAAAAAAAAAAAAATAAAAATATATTCACATATTTAATTAAGTATTCAAATTATTATCCAATTTTTTTTTTTTTTTTTATTTTTTTTGTAACGTTTAACATATATATATATATATATAAAATTAACTTTTAATTTGATTTATTTTTCTCTTTTTTTTTTTTTTGTTCGTTTGTATTATTTTTATCACTATAAATATTTTTTTTTTTTTTTTAATATTCTGTTTTAAAACTTTTAAATATTTTTCTTTTTTTACTATTTTATAAAATGATTTAAATATATTTTTTTTTTTTTTTTTATATATATATTTTATTAAAAAATTAATTTTTTTCAAATTCGTGAAACTTCTATTTATGATTATGTTTTTTTGTGAAAATTTTGTATAATATTTTAAATATATAAATTTTTTTTTCTTTTTTAAAAAGACAAATTTTTCTTTTATAAAAAAAAATTAAAATCCATTTCAAAGCTTTTTTTTTTTTTTTTTTTTTTTTTAAAACGTTATAAGAAAATATTACTTTTACATATTTATATAAAAAATTTTAATTAAAAAAAAAATATATATATATATAAGTATTGTATTTTTTAAATTTCATAAAAAAATAAATAATGCTGTTTTAGAAAATTAATTAATTATTTATATTTAAAAATAAATTATAAAAATAGGATACATAGAAATACACAAATGAAGAGTGATATATAAAAAAAATATAAAGGGAAAAAAAAAAAAATCAAGAGTATGATGAATATATATTTAAAAAAATACGTGATTTTTTTTGTTGTAATTTACTTATTTAAAATAATTTATTGTTTTGATGAAAACGAAAAATTAATTAAATTGAAAAAATTAATAAATAAAAAAATAAAATTACATTTGAATGAAACTTACGGAAATTTAGATGAAAATAAAAAACATTTATTTATTTATATTCATGAAATTACATTAAATGATTATATTGATTATGTTTTAAATAAAACGGATGACTATGATTGTGTATTATTTTATATAGATGTAGAGAGTAATAATACTATTTCAAAGTTTGATAGAAAGAGCCTTGTTTTGTTAGAACTATATAACGAAGTTGCAAAAAAAATAATTTTAGATAATAATTATTTATATAATGAAAATAACTTTTCAAATGAACAAGAAAAAGAAAAAGATAAACAAAAGAACTATTTAATAAAACCAGTTTTCTTTTTTTATATAAATTTTAATAAATATTATATAAAACCTTTAAAATATGTTCATACGATTTACAATTTACCAGAATTTATATATATAAATAGTAACACTTTTGATAATTTTAATTATTCTTCAAGAATTAAAAAAAATTATATGTTAGAACATTATATAAAAAATATAAAACAAATAGGAGAAAACAAGAAAGAAATAAATAATAAAATCATTCAAAAATACTTTATAGAATTTATTAATTTACATAATAGAAATAAACTTATATTGCATGAAGATCTTGTTTACAAAAAAAAGTTATATATAACAGTTTTTATAATCTTGGTATTTATATTTCTTTATTTTTTTGTATTACTATTACAAAAATACACAGTTCTAATATTTATTTGTTCATTTATTTTATACTTGATATGTTTAAGTGGTATATTTCACTGTTTAATTAATAAATCTGAAATGTATAATACAGATAAAAGTATTGAAACTATATTTCAAAAATATATATATCGTTCTACAAATTCTCAATATATACTTGAAGGATTTGTTTTTTCATTTTTAATTTTTGTAATAAGTATATTACTATTTACATTATTATATTACTCAAATAATGAAAATATATCTAAGATAAAAAAAAATTTCTTTTTTTTGTTTCTTATATTAATTATTTATATTTCTTTTAAAATAATAGATATAATTAATATTTATAAAATATATTATTCAACATACTTTTTTTTTCCTCCTCTTAAATTTTTTCGTAAATAATTTCTTATTCTTTTTTATATTTATTATATTTTTTTTTTTTTTTTTTTTCTTTTAATCATTTGTAAATGTGGATCATTTTTAATCTATAATAATCAAAAATTTATCGTGTATTTTTTTTTTTTTTTTTTTTTTTTTTTTTTTTTTTTTTTTTTTTTTTTTTTTGTATTTTTTATATATAAGAATATGCTTCTTTTAAAAAATTAATTTTATTAACAATTTTTTTTTTTTTTTAAAATATCAACTTAATATTATTTATTTAAGAGAAATATAAAATAATAATGTGGTATTTTTTTTAAAAAGTATTAGAATTTAAAAAAAGGCTTTTTTATAGTCAGAATTTAGCTGCACTAAAAAATATTTTATTTATTTTTTCTGTTAAATTTCCTATTTCTTTAATTTTATATTATATTTGACTTTAATATTAGATTAATTTTATTTATAATTTTATGTTTAAACTGTATTTTTTTTTTTTTTTTTTAAATACATTTAAATTATTATCTTTTTTTTTTAAAGTTACTTCTTATATTGCAACTCTATTGATATATGTTTGAATAAAATAAATCTAAAAAATATGCTGGAATGTAATTATAAAAAAGAATTTAAAAAAGGTTATATTAATTAATGAGAAGGATTTAATAAAGGATGAACGTTTGGTTGAATGATGATTATAATAATAGTTTATGTGAAAATGATATAGATATATTAAATAAAAAAAATAAAATTAAAAATGAATTAGAAATGAACAAAAATAATATTGATAACACGAAAAATGAAAACATAGCAAATAATTTCATTAAAAACACAAATGATGAAATTTATAAAAACAGTAGTATTTTGAAAATAAATGATAGTAGTAATATTAATAGGAATAATGTAATGAATAAAAAAAAAACTAGAATAATATCTATAAAAAATTTATATAGTAATTTGTACAAGATAAGTGATACATTATTAAAAGAAACAATAAATGAAAAAGAAGAAAAATATGAAATAGATAATTTGAATTATGAAAAAGATAAATATGCAGAAAATGCAGTAATTTATGAAAATAAATTAAATTTAGAAAATATAGACATAAATGATACAAAGAAAAAGTATACAAGTGAAAATGATATAAATATATCTGAAATTAATAGAAATAAATTAGATGATAATTCTAAAGGAAAAAATAAGAAATTTAATAGTTTCTTAAAATTATATGACGAAAATAGTCATTTAAAAGAGCATAGCAATGAAAATATAAAAAATAACAATGACAATTTTATATATTATAATAATAGAGAAGAAAATACGGAAAATAGAAATATGAATAATCACTGTTTAAATTTAAATGGATCATTAAATTGTGATAATGAAAAAAAATTCACATATAAAAATAAAAAAAATACTAATAATGAAAATAGTAATAATGAAAATTGTAATAATGAAAATAGTAATAATAAAAATTGTAATAATGAAAATTGTAATAATGAAAATAGTAATAATGAAAATAGTAATAATGAAAATTGTAATAATGAAAATAGTAATAATGAAAATAGTAAAAATGATGAACAGAAAAAGAGGAGTGAAAACAACATTGAAAGTGTTAATGAAAAAGATGAAAGAAAGATAGATAACTATTTGAAAAAAAAAGGATATTTATTAGAACCTGATGAAAAAAAGGAAAAAAATATGCTTACATTATATGAACAAAATAATAATTTCTTAGACGAACAAAAAGAAAAAAAAAAAAAATATAATTTAATAAATGAACAAGAAGGTAGTGATTTATTTAAAAATATGAAAATAAACGAACTAAAAGCTAAGCTGAGCGAAAATTTACCAGACACTTTTAAAATTTTGTTATGCACAGATAATCATTTAGGATATAAAGAAAATAATTCTATACAAAAAAAAGACAGTTTCAATTCATTTGAAGAAATTTTATTTATAGCAAAAAAATTAAATGTTGATATGATTTTAAATAGTGGGGATTTATTTCATAAAAATAAAGTATCTGAGTATACTTTGTTTAAATCTATGTCAATTATGAGAAAATACTGCCATATTAATAAAAAAGAAAATTGGGTATTAGAAGAAGAGAAAGAATCAAGTAAAAAAAAATTGAACACACATGTAAAAGAAATCACAAATTATGAATATGAATATTATGAAAATGAAAAAGTATATGAGGAATATTTAAAAACTGAAAGTGATTTTTCTAATGAGGTACTTGAAGAGAAAAAAAATAAAAAGAATAAAAAAGAAAAAAAAAAAAAAAAGAAAAAAATAAAAGAAAAAGATTTTAGTAGCTCAAATACAAATGATAAAATTATAGAAAAATATGGAAAGAAAAAAAAAAAAAAAAATAATAATAAATCAAGATATGAAGATGATAATGAAAGTATAAAATATAATGATAGTATGTATGAAAAATATGAAGATAATGATAAATATTATTATAATAAAGAAATAATTAAGGATTTAAATGGTTTAAAAAATAAAAAGGAAATTTTAAACAACTTAAAAATTTGTTCTTTAAACGAAAAATATGAAAAATCTATACCATTTTTTACAATTCACGGAAACCATGATTATCCTTATAGTTATGATTTCATTTCTCCATTAGATATACTAAATATTTCTAATTTAATTAATTATATTGGGAAAAACAGTTTAGATAATATTGTAATTAAACCTATTCTTTTAAATAAAAATAAAACAAAAATTTCAATTTATGCAATTGGATGGATGAAAGATGAACGATTATATAGATCATTTGAAAATAATAAAGTAAAGTTTGTTTTACCATCTGATTATAAAAATAGGATAAATATTTTAGTATTACATCAAAATAGATACATAAGAAATACATATGGTAATAATACAAAAAATTTTATTAAAGAATCATTTGTCCCAAAATTTATTGATTTGGTTATATGGGGTCATGAACATTTTTCCAAACCATATTTAGAAGAAAGTATATTTAATTCGTTTTATAATTTACAATTAGGATCATCAGTTAGAACATCATTATGTCCAAACGAATATGGAGATAAATATATTGGTTTATTAGAAATAAGAAATGAAAGATTTCGATTTTTAAAAATAAATTTAGAAACAGTTAGACCTTTTGAACTTAAAGATATTCGATTAGGTGATTTTAATTTAAATTTTAAAGAGGAAAAAATTTTAAAAGAGTTTTTACATGAACAAACAAATATAATTTTGAATGATGTGAAAAAAAATTTAAACGAAGAAATTAAAAAATATTATTTATTTAAAAAGTTGTTTTTCCCATTTAATGGAGATAAAAATGATAAAACTTGCATTTATAAAAATAAAGAAATAAATGAATTAATCTCTAACAAAATAAATGAAAACACAATGAATAGTTTGTTTGAAAAACCAGAAGAAAGAGAAAAATATTTTTATTCCATATTATCTGAAGATGAAATTCACAATTTTTATTCCAACTTAAAAAATGAAGATTTTTACTCAAGTACATTTATACATATGGCCTTTTCAGATTGTTATGACACTTTTGATTTAATAAAAATAAAAAAATATGTATATGAAAAACCTCTAATAAAATTAAAAGTAGAATATGATGATATTAACATAATAAATACTCAATCATTTGGCTCTCTTTTTATAAGCAGTATAGCAAATCCTTCTGAATGTTTATCTTTTTATAAAAAGAAGATAAAAAATAGAGATAATATGCAATGTATACAAGATAATGAAACAAATGACAAAGATCTTCATAATATGGAATATATAAATGAATATAATAAGGTGTTTGATATATTATTCGATTATTGTGATATGAAAAATAAGTTATCTATACTAGATGAAAAAGTAATAATGGATACTATGCAAAATTTTATTTTAAATACAAATTCTTCTTTTAATTCTAATTCAAATTCTGATTTTAATTCTATTATTTCTATGGTTGATAAATGTTCTAAAGATAAAATAGACTTACTAGAACAAAACATAAAAGATATCCCAATAGAAAATTTAACGGATGATTATTTGAAAAATCTTACAGAAAAATTAAATAATCAAGAGTTTTTTTCAATTTAATAAAATGCATACATATATATATGTATATGCATATATGTATATGCATAATTTATTTATTCATATTAAATTATGTAAATAATATTTTAAAATTTTTATAATGTTTATCTAATAGATTAAAACAAAAAAAAATTTAAATATATTTTTTATAAAATTTATAAATTAAAAATATTAGATTTTATGTTAAAATTTCTAAATTTATACATGTAGTATAAATGTTAAAAAGTTTATGAAAACTTTTATAGAAATTTTAATATTTTATTATTTTATTATTTTTTTTTTTTTTATGTTTTTAAGAATTTTTTACATATAATTCATTTTTAACTTTATCAAAATAATCTATTTTAGTTAAAATGTTATTTCCTATTTTATATTTATTTAAATCATCACTTTGCTTAATTATTAATTTTGCATGAATTTTAGGTGCTAAATAAAGTAACACATAATTATCTCTAATATCTAAAATTTTAGAATTAATTAGATTATTCGTATTTTTAAATGATGATAATATCTCTTCATTAGTGTATTTCTTAATATCAACTATAATTTTCTTATGTATATTATCAATTCTTGCTATTCTAACTTTAATTATATTATGTATTTTTATTATAAGAAAAATATATTTTTGTAACCCTTCTAAACTAAAATATTCTGATGTATTTAAATAAGCTTTTCTATCACACAAAATATCTAATTTTATTTTTCTTTGATTAATGCTTAATATTCTACCATAATATACATCATCAATACTATATTTTTTAAATGGATAATTTTCTTCTTTTATCTGTTTATATATTATATTATTTTTCATATCTCTTTCAAATATTCTTTTTGTTTTAAAAATTTTACATTTTTGAATGTTATTAAAATTATCATTAAAAAATAAATAGTTCTTTACATTTATATTAATAGAATATGTTAAATTAATTAAAAGAAAAATTACAAAAAAGTGAAGCATAACAAAAGAGAAAGAGAAAAAATAATATATATATATATATAGTATGTAAAAATAAATTAAAAAATATTTAACGTAAGAAATTCAAAATTTATATAAAAATAAATAAAAATATAAATTAGATAAAACATAAAAAAAAAAAAATTTTAAATTACAACATTTTTATACATTATTTTATATTCAACTTTTTTATTGAATATTTAATTTTATCTTTAATGAAATAAAAGATACATAAAAATATTCATTAAACATTTTTTTTTTTTTTTTTTTTTTTTTATACATATTTATCATTTATTAATTATAAATTACAATAAAACGTAAAAATAAAAAATTACATTAGTTGAAACCTCAAGTTTTATTGCATAAAAATATTTTGATTGTTGTTGAATATTATTCTCAAAAAAAAAAAAAAAAAAAAAAATTATATATATAAATATATAAATATATATATATATATATGAAAAGTTTAAAAAAGAAAATAGTTTGAAATACATTATTTTTTCATTTATATACCAATAAAGTTGATATTATAATAATGAATAAAGTAATGGTATACAAATTAAGATAATTTGAATTAGCAATTATGTGAAAATTAGAATTATACTTTTCTTGAATTTACATAATATATTGAAATAATATATTTAAAAATTCATATTAAATTTATATTTTCAAATTTATTTTATTGTAAGGTATTTTTCAGTACTATAAATTTTTAGACTTATTTATTAAAATAAATAAGTTATTTTAAAATAAGATATTCAAAGATATTATAAACATTAAAATATATTATAATGAACTAAAAAAATTATAAAATAAAATAGGACAGAAAAGTACTTAAATATTACATGATAAAGGAATATATATATATATAATATATTCTAATTTAAATTCCTTTTATGAAATTTTAAGCCAGTTCTTTTTGTTAAAAAAGAAAAAAAAAATTCCTATTTCAATTTTTAAAAATATCTAAAAAAGGATATTATTCTCTTTTTTCTTTTAAATGCATATTTAAAGATCTATATTAATATATATTACCAAATAATTAAAGTTCTTTTATTATTTTATTCTATTTATAATATTATAAAGTAATATTCAGATTTAATGAGTAAAAGTTATATATATAAACACCACACTTTTATGATACGAAAACATGAAATCCCATTTAAAAGAAAAATAAAATATATATTGAATTGAAATAAACAGAAGGAATAAAAATGAATGTTCGTTTTAAAAAATATTTTTCAAATTGAAAGTATTAAGTGCGTTTATTAATAATCTCAACATATAATTAATATGTAAAATTAATAAATGCTGTAAACTTAATATATAAAATCAACATTATTAAATAGGAAAAGAAATATCTCTAGAAATGCAAAAAATGTAATAAAAATAATACTTCTACTTTTTTAAATAATCATATATAAATTTTAAATTTTTGATAAGACAGTTTCGCTTTACGTCCTTATATAATTTGTCAATTTTTCTTGTGTCAATAACAAATATTTTATTAATATATTTTTTTATTTATATTAAACAAATAAGATGATAACGTATTATTATATAACAATTCTTAAATAATCAAAAAAAAAAATTCTGAGTTTTATTGAAATATATTAGTTATTTAAAACATTTAATTCAATTTATTTATCATTTTTAAAGAATGAAAAATATATTTTTCCTTCATAATATTTTTTTAAAATAAAAGTTTGGAAAAAAGTAAATGAAATTTTTATTTTATTTTATTAATTTTTTTTTTTTTTTTTTTTTTTTTATAATATTAAGTTGATAAATTATATGTAATTTATTATTTATCTATAAAAAAAATGAAAGAAGATTACAAAAAAAGGTTTATTTTTTT